TGTTATCATGACTAATCGCGACTGTCACACTTGTAAAGGTAGAAGTTTTGTAACAAAAAAAGGGGAATGGTTAATGTTACAGTCCAGAAACAGAGGACCCTACGACCATCAAGAAAGGAACGCACAAGCAGAGTGCAGGGCCTTATCAATATACATAACCCTTTACTTATCCAGAGAAGCAGCAGCGCCAGAGATGGAGGCAAGGATGGGGGCATGGAGAGTGGGCACGGCTGAGGACTCTAGATTCATCAACTAAGAAGAGAAGGACTAAGAACTGGTGGCCAGGAGGTTTGTGTCTGAATTGGCCTTGAGCTGATGTTGAGTTTGATTTCCATTCACATTTGTGAACTCAGAGGAAGTTAGATGTGGCTCCCATACCATTCTTCAGCTTCTAAAGAAAAATTCCAGGTGGCCTCTATTCCTTAAATATTTGAGTCACCTTCTTTCTGCCAAAGGTGTCACATTAAACCCCAAGTGGAAAACAGCAATTCTAAACTTTCCACCTTCTAAAACCATGAGGCAATTGAGAAGATGTTTAGGGTAGTACAGCTATTCTTCAACACGGATTCCAAATTTTTCATTAATGATTCATCCCTTATATAAATTATTAAAGAGAAAGGACCCCCTGATTCTGGGTATAGATCAGAATAACTCTATTGATAATTTTTTATTTGGTTTGCACTCTCTCCTCTGTTCTGGAATGCTAACACAAAAACATAATGATTAGCAAAGACCAGAAGGGTATTATAGTTTACAACTAGATCCAGTGGATTGTTCCCTACTCCCTTTGGTTATAAACTACAGAAACCACTGGAAAATCAATAGAAAATACTACTGATATTGGGAAATACTCTTTGTTTTTGTTCTACTTGCAATCAAAGATTTGTTCAATTCTGGAGTACTCCATCACATATCCACCTATAAAGCTGTTCTGCTTTCCTCTCCTCCTGTTCATAATCTCATTTAGCGTGTCAAAACCTGAAACCAGACACTTTATTTCCTTTCATGAACACATCAATGCATTGACTGTCTAACTCTAACTCCCAGGACTGATTTATAAGAAACTCCTTTAGAGAACACTGACCTTGTTTTGGTTGTAGTTAGGTCATATCTTAAACATCCCCCAATCTCCTACAAATTTCAGGCTATCTATGCCATAATCTTCCTTATTAAAGTAACGAAAGTAGGACCCCTCTGTAAAGCCACCTCAGCCTACAAGCAGAGCTGTAGGCTCTGACTCAAGTCTTCATATTAGTAAAGGGTCTAATAACTCAATTCAAAACACTATCATCAAGTCAATTCCAACTCATAGCAAACCTATACAGGGTTTCTGAGCCTCTAAGTATTTACAGGAGCAGACAGCCTCATCTTTTTACTGCAAATCAGCTAGTGGGTTTGAACTGCCACCCTTGAAGTTAGCAGCCCACACTTAACCCACAACACCAACAGTGTCAACATTTATTCACACAATTGATATGTGATTGGATTTATTCATGCTTTTGGACTATTGTGAAAACAAAGGGGGCTCTTCAACATCAGCTGCACTGAAATTTAAAATAGCCAATTCGTTCAGAAACTATTGAATGCATTGTTATTACCAAAAGCCTTGTTTGGAGCCTTGTGGCTGTTAGGAACCATCAAGTCACAGTGACCCTAGCACAGCAGAGCGAAACACTTTCTGATCCTGCACCAACCACACAATTGTTGCTACGCTTGAGCCCATTGCTGTTAGTACTGTGCCAATCCATCTCATTGGGGTTCTTCTTTTTCTTCAACTCTCCACTTTACCAAGTGTAATGTCCTTCTGAAGGGACTGGTCCCTCCTGATAATATGCCGAAAGTATGAGAGACAAAATCTGGCCATCCTGATTTCTAAGGGGCAGCCATTATTAAAATATAAACTAACCAAAAGGAGATTACTTCTGCAGAATTTAAAGTATTGTACTAAGTCTTTCCCATTCATCTACTATGACATTGCTCATGCCATTCTCAATCTTATGGGATGGTAGCGAGAACAAACTCAGTTAAATTTTGTAATTCTTTAGATCTTCCCTTAGTTTCACTGAATTCCAGGTCAATTCCCTTTGGAAAACATAAACTCACAATCTATGAAATTGTTATCAGAAAAAAACATGAACTTGCCTCATATTAAATTTATAGCTCCAAATAGAGTTCAACACCATTGTTGTTATTAGATCCTGTCAAGTTAGCTCCAACTTAGCAGTCCTATGCACAACAGAACAAAACATGCCTGCTCTACATCATCTT